TCTTCGAGGGAGGGAAAAATTGCACATTTAATTCGGTGACCAACTCTCCCACGAAGTGATCGAGTTACGTGGTAACTCAGCTAGCCACTTGCACGCCTCCCCCATCAATGAGAAAGGGAATAGCCTTAATCGAATCGACTCTTGTGAGTTGTTTTTGAACGAGAATGGTCCACACACATCTGTAAAGTTTCGAAGATGCTCATGTTGGTCCTCATTTGCTAATCCACTGAAGAGTTCCTTTAGTTGCAGGAGTGGCAATATGGTGCTCGTTATGTGGAACACTGCATTTCCCTCTGCTGGAGGTAGACGGATGGCTCCAACTCCTCCCATGAGATGTAGATCATTGATGTTGGGCTATTGGACATCGTTGAGGTTGTTGATGTCGTCCTGATGGCCCACCTGGCTCCCGTTACTACCGTTAACACTCATACTTTTTGAAATGTTTACACAATCAATCAAAACTAAACTAAAAATTAAGTTAGTAAATTACAACTAAGAAGAACAAAAATTCTACTAATCTAAAAATTCCCGACAGCGGCACCATTTTGATGCTTATTGTGACCAACGACACAAACCTACCGTATGAGTGTCTACGATCGTCGATAATATAGTAACCCACCTAAAGGTTAGGGTTATGTCCCAAGGTAGTTGTTTTGAGAATTAATAGAAAAATAAAATTTAATTCTAACTAGTCGTAGCTAAAGACATTAACGAGTAAAAAAATAGTAAATTGAAGGGGTAACACAAAAGTGTCAAATATCGATTTGGGGGTTTTGTCACAATTAGTAGAAACAACAAAAATAGCAAGAAAATCAAGTATGGGCAACAATTCTTGGGGTGTGACCGCAATAAAAGTTGAAATAAGTAGTTGGGTACATGCTTTTGAAAGGAAATTTGTAAGATAATAGTGACTCGGCTAAGCTTTAAATGGAAATAACTTTCCTCTCGGGCAACTTACCCCATTTCGTATTCCTCTCAGACACCCATTTGTCGCATGAAGACCAACCTACGCCTTACCCCACTCACTCTCTCGAGCTGAGTGTTAGGATATGAGACTAGGGCTCACCCTCTCGGGCTGAACCTCATGTCGACCCACTCCTTAGGCCATCAGTCTAGTGGTCTTGGTTTGGCGACCTCTCTCTCGGGAAAGCCAAAAACAAATGGGTGGCTTTGTATTTGCAACTACAAACCCTTTAGATTAAACCACAACCACTATGTGAAATCACCGTTAAACTACAACTAACCTATCAGCAAGCAAGACCCAACAATAATACAACACATATTTGCTAAATCACACCCCAAGAATGGGGTTTTTAGCCACACATCAAGAAATAACAAAATACATCTAAAATGATAGTGAAATCAAATGGGTATAAGAAATTAAACCTTAATTTAAGCAAAGGAAGAAGAATGGAGAAAACCCACTTCTAACTTAGGGAAGATGAAATCCTTCTTTCTTCAAGTCTCCCAAAAGAACCCACTCCAAACTTGAGAGAAATTATCCAAAAAAGTACTATTCTATTCGGGAAATTAAAATAAATGTTCGACTCTCTAAAAATTAATAACAAGTTTAGTATTTATAGACATTAGAAAAGAGCGTTGTCGGATCTTTCAGCGAAGTTAGTCGATGCCGCCGAATGACCCGGAGACTCGCCTTTCTTCTGTTTTATCGTCATTTCATGCTTGCCTTCAACATCTATTCAACGAAGCGTCGACTGCTCCTTTTATCACCTTTTTTATCCTTCTTCTTTAGGGCTTAGCATACTGGAATATAGGGCGGAGTTTGTCCTTTCGGTGAATCACCAAAGGTTCTTGGCGATGCTCATGCTTCAGCTTCTTCGTTCTTTTCAGCCTTATTGTTCGTTTTTGCGCCTAAGTGTCCATGCTTCCACTAAAACATCAAATACCTGAAATTTAAGAGTTTTCATCTGATATTGAGACAAAATAAGCATTCGATGATACTATTTCCATCAAAATAAAGCCCTAAGTAAGTCCAATTTGTGGACTCATCAGCCTGCCAATCCGATTTCGTGAATACCATGAACAGAGAAACAAGTTTTTCTTGAATGGCACCACCAACTTTTGGTGGAGAAAGTTATCGAATCTGGGCTGCTAGAATGCATGCATATCTAGAAGTTTTGGATCTCTGGGATGTTGTAGAAGATGAATACATCATTTCTCCCTTGCCAATCAATCCCACGATGGCACAAATTAATAATCACCAGGAAAGGAAAATTAGGAAATCAAAGGCAAAGGCATGTTTATTTGCTGCAGTTTCATCCACTGTCTTCACTCGTATCATGTCTCTGAAGTCGGCAAAAGAGGTATCGGATTATTTTAAGACTGAGTATGAAGGAGATTAAAGGATTCGAGGGATGCAAGTGCTAATTTTGGTATGTGAGTTTGAGCTGCAAAGGATGAAGGATAGTGAAACTATAGAGGAATACACAGATTGACTTCTTAGCATAGCCAATCACGTCAGATTGCTGGGTTCCACTTTTAACGATTCAAGGATCATTGAGGAAATTCTTGTAACGGTACCTGAAAGATTTGAGGCGACCATTACAACCTTAGACTTGTCCAGTATTACACTAACAGAGCCCTTAAGTGCCTTTTAAGAACAAGAGCAATGACGTATTATGAGACAAGAAAGAAGCTGTTGAAGGAGCCTTACCTGCTAAGAATCAAGATGGTGGACAATATAAGAAAAAGAAGAGCAAGAAGTACCAACCAACAGATGGAGAAGTTGCAACACGCAACAACAAAAACAAAACAGGTAGCTTCAAAGGAAACTACCCTCTTTGTAAGCATTGCGACAAGATCAGATACACACCTTTCAAGTGTTGGAGAAAGCATGAAGCTAAGTGCAGTAAGTGCAATCAGTTTGGGCATGAAGCAATCATTTGTAAGAACAAAACTCAGCAACAGGATGTAGATGCTCGAGTTGTAAATGAATAGGAGGAGGATCAACTCTTTGTTGCATCATGTTTTGCAAGCAATGTTTCTAGTGAGTTGTGGTTGATTGATAGCAGATGCATAAATCACATGACTCATGATAAAAAATTCCTTCAAAGATTTGAATCCTACTCAAGTTGCAAATGTTCGAATAAGCCATGGTGGTCACTAACCAGCAAAAGGAATGATAACTATTACAGTTGAGACACAAACAGGCACACAAACAATAACATATGTTCTTTATGTACCAGACTTAGACATAAACTTGTTAAGTATTGGTCAATTGTTATAAAAAGGTTTCAAACTTTATTTTGAAGATAAATATTTCTTGATCAAGGATCTCTCAGGGCAGGACATGGTTAGAGTCAAAATGAGAGGAAAAAGTTTCTCATTAGATCTATTTGAATAAGAGAAGATGTTGTATTCAGCAAAAGAAAATGTCATTGAGTTATGCCACAAGAGACACGGGTACTATCATTATCAAGGGCTTGTCAAGATGCAAAAGTTGAAGATGGTGGAGAGCTTACCTGATCTCGAAGTAAATTCCACTGAATCTCATGCCTGCCAATTTGGTAAGCAACATAGAAAGCCATTTCCAAAATCAACCCGGAGAGCCTCACAAAAGTTACAACTAGTTCACACTAATGTTGCAGGGGCTCAAAGAACTCCATCAATACAAGGTACCATCTACTACGTTATTTTCATTGATGATTTTACATGAATATGCTGGATTTTTTTCTTGAGATTCAAGACAGAAATTGCTGGTGTATTCTGGAAATTCAATAAATTTGTGAAAAATCAAAGTAATGGTAAGATTCTAGCTTTGAGGTCTAATAATGGGAAGGAGTACACTTCAACGAAATTTGATTCATTGTGTGAGAAGGCTAACATTGTGCATCAGCCTACAACACCATACATACCAGAACAAAATGGTGTTAGTGAAAGAAAATATAGATGGATAATGGAGATGGCCAGATGTATGTTGCATGAGAAGGAGTTGCCTAAGATATTTCGGGTAGAGGCAGCAAATACCGTAGTTTTTTTATAAAGAATCTACTTCCAACGAAAGCTTTGAAGAGTAAAACACCATTTGAAGCTTGGTACGAGTTTAAGGCTTCACGAAGTTTTCTTAAAGTGTTTGGTTGTGTCTATTTTTTTCATGTTCCTCGGGTTAAACGTCACAAACTTGACAAGAAAGCAATCATAGGCATCCATGTGGGTTACCATTGAGTTTCTAAAGCCTACAAGGTCTATCATCCTGAAACAGGAAAGATGAAAAATACAAGAGATGTTCATTTTAGTGAGAATGAGTAGTGGGACTGGAAGAATTATTCGAAATCAGGAAAATACTCTCTAGAAGCAAACATCAGCCCTCCTGAAGAGCTAAAAATAGAACACTGGCAGCACGAACTAGAAGGTGATCATCCAGTCAAGGGGAGAAGATTGTTGTCAGCTATCTATCAGAGGTGTAATGTCACCATTGGTCCAGTAGAAGCTTTCAAGGCCCAAAATGGAAGAAAGCAATGGAGGAGGAGATCTCCATGATTGAGAAAAGAAAACTTGGGTGCTGGTCGACAAACCTCAAGATAGAAAAGTCAATGGTGTGAGATGGTTCTTCAAAATAAAGTTAAATGTAGATAGTTCCATCAACAAATGCAAGGCAAGGCTTGTAGTTAAAAGGGTACGCACAAATTTATGGTGTTGATTACTCTGACAACTTTTCTCCTTTTGGAAGATTAGACACAATCAGATTTCTACTCGCAATAACAACACAAATGGAATGGAAGGTGTTCCAACTCAATGTCAAATAAACCTTCTTAAATGGCATACTGGTGTCGGAAATATATGTCAAGCAGCAATCAGGATTTGTGAAACACGGTGATGAAGAAAAAGTCTATCTGCTAAAAAAGGTTCTATATGGCCTAAAGCAAGTACCAAGAGCTTGGTATAGTAGGATAGATGGTCATCTGTTAAGCTTGGGCTTTGAAAAAAGCTTATATGAATCCACTTTGTATGTAAAACATAAAGACACAGATATCCTTATTATGTCGCTCTGTGTTGATGATCTTCCGGTAATAGGAAATAATACAAGGCTGGTTGAGGAGTTTAAAGAGGAAATGATGCAAGTTTTTGAAATGACAGATCTTGATCTTATGACCTATTTTCTTGGAATGGAGATCAAGCAAAGAAAAAGTGAAGTGTTCATTAGCCAGAAGAAATACGCAAAGGAAATTGTGAAGAAAATTCAAATGGAGGAATGCAAGTTGATAAGCACACCGATGAATAAAAATGAGAAGCTCTATAAAGAAGATGGAGGCGAAAAAGTTGATGAAGGTTATTATAGAAGCTTGATTGGATGCTTAATGTATCTCACTACAACAAGGCCTGATATTTTATTTGTTGTAAGTCTCTTATCTCGTTTTATGATCTGTGCAAGTGAAATGCATTTAAGAGCAGCAAAAAGAATATTAAGATATATCAAAGGTACTATTAACTATGGTGTAAAATTTGAGAAGTTTCCAAGCTTCAAGTTACTTGGATTCTCAGATAGTGATTGGGCTGGATTCGCAGATGATATTATAAGTACCTCTGGCCATTGTTTCAGCCTAGGTTTAGGAATATTCTCATGGTCATCTAAGAAATAAGAAATTGTTGCACAATCCACTGCAGAAGTTGAGTTCATTGCAACAACAAGAGCAGTATACCAAATTTTCTGGATGAGAAAGATCATGTATGATTTACATTTGGAACAAAAGGAAAGTACTATCATTCTTGTTGACAACCAAGCAACTATTGCAATCTCAAAAAATTTGGTGTTTTACAAGAAGAGGAAGCATTTCAACATCAAGTTCTATTTCTTGAGAGAAGTTCAACAAAGGGGAGAAGTGACTCTAGTCTACTGCAAGTCTTAAAACCAGCTAGCAGACATGATTACTAAGCCTTTACCGATCAGCAAATTCGAGCTTCTTAGACAGAAAATTGGAGTTTGCAATATCCAAAGCACGGAGGAGTGTAAGGAATCTTCTTTTGAACTGCAGTAAAGTTAATTTTACTACCTATGTTTTAACTAAGACTTAGTCAATTAGTTGTTAGTCACGCTTTCCTATTATTTAGGAGTTGTTTAGTAAACTGCTAGATCATGTGTTATTGTTTTTTACTTTTCATTCTAGGCTCTTATATATCTAATTTGAAGCATTAATAAAAGTGTTATTCTTCTGCTTCTATTCTTTTTTTTTTCTCTCTCTCATCTTTTTTGTTTCAGGCACGGTCTTTGATTTCCCTTTGTGTTATTTAGCTAAAACGGGTTTTTAAAACCTTCACTCATGAATTCATTTCGAAATCGATGTTTCCCCTCATTTTAAATGTAAGAATATTTACTATTGGGAATACTTAGTTCCCATATATTCATTATGAAAAATGAAACTCAACTCTCCTCATCCTCGTACTCAAGAACTCAAGTCTTAAAACAACTTCTAAAGGATTGTAAAAGACTTCATAAAATGACTCGAAAGAATTCTCAAGATTTTACTCCTATCTCCACCTTGAATTTGATTTATGAATTCAAGAGTTATGATTCATATTATGAAGTATCTCTTGATGTTTACATGTAGTTTAGTGTAGTTCGAATAAGATAGGAGTAAAGGTACACCTTAAAAGAACATAGACGAATCAAATAACTGAAGAACGGTGGGGGTAGGCGACTTTGGCGCACTGCTGGTGCTGGGCGCCAACCCCTAAACTTCAGAGACTCAAATATGGTACCTGGCACCCCTCCCAACCCCTCGGGCGCATCTGGGGTGCGCTGCTCAGCCCCTCCCCAGAACATTTCTACAAATTTTCTTCTTTGAATTTTTACCCTAATTCTCCTAGAATCGAATGGTTTCTTCCCCACTCAATTAGATTCGAATACCTAGCATAAGTACATGAAAATCTACTTAAAAAACAACCCTCAAACTCCTAACATTCATCTCAAGAACTCATCAAACTCATTATTAGCGATTTAAGAACGAAACTTCAAGAAAATTCATCAAGAACTCAAGTCATTCAACCTCAAGAATGAAATTAAGCATTTAAAATACGGAAAAGGGCCAAAAATACCCTTGAACTATTCAAAAAGGTTTAAATATACCCCTCATCCACCTTTTGGGTTGAAAATACCCCTCAGTCCACCTATTTGGTTTACTTTTAACCTTTAACACTAACAGACTTTTCTTAAATTAATTTTATTATTATTATTATTACATGGCAGATTTCTATTTGCTGAAATTAAAACTCCATCTTTACCTCTTCATTTAACCCGCTACATGACCCAATTGCCCATGGTATCCCACCCCAAACCCGATCGGTATCCCTTTCTCCGACTTTCTAGAAATCTCTCAGTTCGACTCTTTTCCTAAATCAAATTGGATGCTCTATTTTTCAGTTCTAAGTGCATTTTTTTAGTTAAAAACTTCATAAACATATTTTTGGTTGGAGAGCCCAAGGCCCAATATCTTCAAATAAGATCCTATTCTTCTTCTTCTTTATCCTCTACTGTATTTAAAACAGAACTATGCATCAAAGCAAGAAAATGATGATTTTTTTTCTTGTTGGAGAATTTAAGATTTTCAGATCAAAATATTTTTATTTTTTATCGTGTAAATGTAAAATATGAGCTGGAGTAAAAAAAAAAGAAGAAATTTTGTGGATGTGATGATAAATATGAGGATGAGAAAAAGAGAAGTGTAATACTTGAGAATGTGATGGACGGATGGAATTAGGGGAAACTTCTGCAACAACAAATTTATAGAGAATGAATAATTAGAGAAATTTAAAGAGTTCAAATTTGGTGGTGTAGAAGCAGAGCTCAATGAATTGAACAAGAGAGTTGATGATTTCATCAGGAGGATGAACAATCAAATTAGAGTTGAAGCTGCCCGATGGCCCACCTTCACCCCTTTATTTAACCCGTCACATGACCCAGATTTCTATCCAAATTATCCGTAATATCTAGAAGTCTATACATGCGGGTGGGGTATTAATTTCAACAAGTAAAAATCTGCCATGTAATAATAATAAAAATAAAATTAATTTAAGAAAAGCCTGTTAGTGTTAAAAGGTAAAAGTGAACCAAATAGGTGGACTGAGGGGTATTTTCAGCCCAAAAGGTGGATGAGGGGTATATTTAAACCTTTTTTAATAGTTCAAGGGTATTTTTGGCCCTTTTCCGTTTAAAATAACATGATTGTCTTGTGGGTGAATGAACCCAACACTATGAGAGCTTACATACCTCTAATTAGGGATCAACACTTGGCGAAATTTCTCGACAAATCTCAAGAACCTTGACGAACACCTTGAACCTTTTATCTTTTCTCCTCTTGAACTCTTCTCAAAACCCTAAGTGTATCCAGGATTGTGAAAACTGACCCAAATCAGTTTTGACCCTTAAAATATTACTAAAAATGTTTAAAGTTGATGGGGGTAAGGAAAATAACCAAATACCCCTCATTAATTTGGGTAACTTTCCTTACCTTGACAGGTTGGCTTCAAACGGGCATATCTCCTTCATCCGAACTAGAAACTTTGAAAACTTGGTGGCGTTGGAAAGAGGATTCAAATTAAATATCTTTCATTTGATATCTTATGGGCCACCTAACTCATCCTTTATGATCATTTGAAGTGGACCCAAAACTTACATCTTAAGCTTTAGTTGAACGAATCTCAAATTAGCTCTTTCCAAGTTAGTTCTTTCTAAATTTAGCTCTTTCTAATACCGATGTGTTACAATATCTTCCACTTGGGAACATTCGTCCTCGAATGAGATCACTCTAAGTACACTAAGGGTTGAAACATCTAACATCCAGCTCAAACACGCAACATGCAATTTTAACACAACATTTGGACTTATGAAGTACCAAGAAAAAGAATTAGTACCTTGGTTTGAAGCTCCTCCCGGAGAAAAGAGACGTGGGTATCTCTTCTTTATATCCGCCTCAGCCTTCCAATTAGCTTCCTCAAGTAATTGGTTCCTCCATCAGACCTTGATTGATGCTACCTCAATCGTTCTCAACTTGCGAACCTGATGATCAAGTATCCCATCGGGAATCCCCTCATAAGATAGGTTGTCCTTAATATCAATATTTTCAGTCGGTATAATAAGTGAAGGATCTCTCATACACTTCTTCAACATTGAAATGTGGAATACCGGATGGACTGCTGCTAACTCTGGTGGAAGCTCAACCTCATAGGCTACATTGTCAATCCTCTTGGATATCCTTTAAGGAACTGTGAACACCTAATTTTTTACCAAACATAAAGATTTCACACCAATTTTAATACTTAAATATTATTATTTTAGTAGGGTTATATTTTTTTTTAAAATCTGAAAATTACAACAAATTATAAGCTCACTTTATGTTTGTAGTTTAATAAAGAAAGATTGTGAATTTAATGTATTTTTTTTAATCCCTCAACTTTTAACTAGTCTAAAATTAAAAAAAAATTCGTATATATTCTGAAAAAGTAAAAAAAAAAAAAAAAAAAAAAAAAAAAAAGATAAAAAGAAGAGTCCTAAAAATTTTTAATTTCCTTACCTTTTATCATAATTATCCCCAATTTCCTTTACTTATTTCCTAAAAATCCTCCTCCCATCTAGTTTATTTTATTTTTATTTGTTTTTTTTTTTGTTTTTTTTCTCACGATCTTCTTCTGAATTTTCTTTTTACACGTTTTCCTACCTTTTCTTTGTGTTTGTTTTATTTTTTATTTTTATTTATTATTTATTATTTGTTGTTTTGTTAATATTATATTACTATTTTTATTTTATTTCTTCATCTCACCCTAAAATTTTAAACTAAATTCCCCATTTTCTTAAGTTCCTTTTAATTAGTACCAGACTCACACCCAAAACTATTATAAAAACACACGCTCAGTAGAGAGAAAAACAGACTCAGGCACACAAAACACAGAGAGAAAAAGATAGCAAAAATGAGTTTTTATTTTGGGAGTTAACTCAGCGTTCGAGGTTTCAATCAAGGTTTCGGATTCGTGGCTCTTTAAAGTTAATATTAGTTATTAACTTTGGAAATCAGTAGATTGTAGCAATTGTTTCTGTGGTATCAATTTTCATAGCGAGGTAACTCTAAATTCTCGCATTATTTAAATGGAATTCTTGCACAAAAACTCGATTCCAATAATATGAAGTTCTTTGAATCGCATGTTATTATTAAATAATATCAATTTGTGATCTATGTTTTGATTATTTTGAGAATTTACGAATGTTTAGGAAAACGTAACCAAAGACGTTTCTTGCTAAAAAAATATATACAAAAAATAAAAATAAAAGATGTATCATACATTTTCTTTTTAATTATTACTCCCTCCGTCCCTATTTACTTGTCCATATTTCCTTTTTTAGTTGTCCCTATTTAGTTGTCCATTTTGACAAATCAAGAAAGGACAATAAATTTTTTTCTATTATACCCTTATTTACACTTCTTGAAAATTGTAAAAGTGTATGTTGTTTCCCTCCAATTTATTTCACTTGAATTCAAATAAGTGGTTGTAATTTTGAAGTAAAAAGTTGTCATAAGGGTAAAATTGTAACTTCACTGTGCTAATCATTGTTGCCTTAATCTGTGTGCCATTTCTAAAGTGGACAACTAAA